CTGATGGAATGGATTGAAGGCAGCTGGTTGGCAGGTGTTGGGATGTGTATCTGATGAGGGTTAATATCTGCACCACCTATCACAACAACAGGGGCTGGGGAGGAGCTGGGTGAGGAAGAGGCACTTTTGAGGGGCAGCAGAGGCTAGGGAACACTTTGGCAGAGAGGCCCTTCCTACCAGAGCCTCCAAGGCTTGACAGGAGCCCACTGCTGAAAGAAGAGCACAGCTTAGGCAGAGGCTGGATTCTACCCAGGCCCTCAGGCAATACTTATGTCACTACTGGGAGGATGTGGCCTTTGCCCTGGGATGTGTTGGGAAGTCAGTGGCGCTGCACATTGAAAGCAGGGAGTCACGTGATCTGGTTGGCTTTTGGAAGCCTCTCCCTAAGTGCTGAGCGGGGAGTGGCCTGTAGGGGGCAGATCTGAGACAGGATCAGAAAGCCGCCTTCTGCAAGAGTCCCAGCTTGTGTGTGTGTGTGTGTGTGTGTGTGTGTGTCTGTCTGTCTGTCTGTCTGTCTGTGTGAGCACAGCAGGACTCTGGAAGGGAAACTAGGTGGCAGAAGATGATGTTGGTTTTAAGTATCCCGTGGAGCCCTTCATCTCTTCCACTCCCCTCTCCTCTGCAGAGCTAGAGAGGAGCCTTAAACCCTACAGTCTGGTGCGGCCACTATTGGTGTCTGCCCTGCGGCCTGTGGTGCTCCTGCCTGAGTGCCTGGCACCCCGGCTCATCCGCAACCTGCTGGATCTGCCCAGCTCCAGGCTAGATTTCCAAGTGTGTCCTGCAGGTGAGTCTGCCACCTGGGTGGTTGGGTGGAGGGGCGCTGGGTGGCACTGGACGGCCGAGCCTATGGCCCCTCGTCCTGCACGTCCTTGTTCTCAGCAGAAAGTTTCTCTGGAGAGGAACAGTGCGCATCCTCAGCTCCCGGAGCCCCCAAGGCCTGGCCTGCCACCCCCGGGCTGGGCAGCAGGATCCGTGCCATCCAGGAGTCTGTTGGGAAGGTAGGTGCTGCAGGGTGCTAGGCTAGAATGCCATTTGGGACCCAGAACCAGCATCTGCACCATCTCTCGGGCTCTTCAGTGTCTTCCCTGTCATGGCTGGGTTGGGACCATGACTCTTGTGGTCACTCTGAGGTGTGGGCTGGTATTTCTTCCCTGAACATCCCTATTTCTGATCTTCCACTGTCCTGCTTGCTGGCTGGGGCTACGGGAGGTCACTGATGGGGGAGTGGCAGTTGAGATGCAGGTCCCTCATGACCCTGGGTCTCCAGTCTGCTTTGGTCCTTTGCTGATGAAGTAGGACTTTCTCCTGGGAGGTGGTGACAGGGTGGGTCAGCGGGGGAGGGGGGTGTCCCAGGAGTAAACTGTCTGTCTGTCTGTCTGAGAAGAAGCACTGTCTGTTGGAGCTGGGTGCACAGGGCGTGCGGGAGTTGGTGCAGAGTGAGGTCTACCCCATCGTCATTCATGTGGAGGTGACTGAAAAGAATGTCCGTGAGATCAGGTGAGTGGTGGCCACAGTGGTTGCTCCCTGTGGAAGCCTCTGCAGCTTTCTGTCACCTGCCTGTCCATCTGTGTGTGCATGCTTGTGTTATGTATGTGTATTGTGTATTAGAGAGGGTTAGCTCTGTAACACAGGTAGGTCTGTATTTTGTGTATCATGTGCATGTATGTATCATAGGTGTATGTACTATGTATCTCAGATATGCAAGTTATCATATGTGCGTTGCATGTGTATCATATGTATCATGTATGTATACGTTCCAGATTATTGTATCCCAGTGTATTATTTATTTATTATATATTTATATCATGCTTTCAAGTGTATCTTGTCTATGTATTATGCAGGTCATATGTCATATGTATAACCCTCATGCCCTCATGCCAAGTGTACAGCAGGCTTGCCACACATAATATACATTATGTATTATATACACATCATGTGTCATATGTATATTGTGCTTTTGTTGAATTGTCTGTGTTGTAGCTGTGTGTATTGTGTATCAGCATGTATTGGTGTGTCATATGTTGTCTTTTATATATGTGTGCATATAATATGTATTATGTGTCTATGTCATATATGTATCATAGTATGCGCACATGTGTGTGTGTGTGTGTGTGTGTGAGCACATGCACATGTATAACCTGCTCTGACTGCCATCCTCCTCTGCAGGGGCCTGCTGGGCCGTCCAGGCTGGCGGGATTCAGAGCTGCTTCGTCAGTGCCGGGGCTCAGAACAATGGCTCTGGGGACTGCCATGTTCCTGGGTGCAGGTGCCTGCTCATGCATGGGGCCATGCAGAAGAGCTGGCCAAGGTGGTGCGTGGCCGCATCTTGCAGGAACAGGCTCGCCTTGTGTGGGTGGAGCGAGGCAGCAGCCGAGGGGGCAGCGGCAGCAGCAGTGAGGCCTGAGGACCATCCTATGGCCAGGACTCTTCCATCCGATGCCTGGGCCTCCTCCACCCAGTGCCTGGACACTCCCCATTCGTGCCTGGTTTCACCTGTGCTGGAGAGACTGCTGGTGGATGCGATGCTGTGTCTGCAGTGGAGTCAGACTTCCCAGTTGGGGCCTTCCTTGTCCCATGGATGCTCCAGCGTGGGACCTTGGTCCCAGACTCTGACCAGAGTCAGCCACTGGTTTTGCACAGGCTGTGGGGGTCCACAGGGCAGACCTTGCACCTGCCCCTGACTTGCTGCTCTGTCTCCTCACTGGCTCCCCGTATCCCTGTGTTTACCCCAAGGTTTCTGTTTGTGGGCTTTACGTGTGTGCCTGGGCCCGCTCCTTTTTTTTTTTTTTGGGGGGGGGGTTTTCGAGACAGGGTTTCTCTGTGGTTTTGGAGGCTGTCCTGGAACTAGCTCTTGTAGACCAGGCTGGTCTCGAACTCACAGAGATCCGCCTGCCTCTCTGGGCCCTCTCCTTACACATGCGCCCTGGAATAGAGTTCTCACACAGTGGTTCAACTTTGCACACTAATGGCCTCATGGATCTCTGATTCTGTCCCTCCACCTGGGTGCCCAAGGCCCCCGGGGTCCTCAGCCTGCTCTGCCACCATCATGTGGCCGCCACAGTCCACATCAGTTTTTGTGTGTACTGTCATGAGATACTATGGCTGCCCTGGTCCGCTTGAACCCTTATGTCTCTGTGTCATCTCTCCTTGTGTGTAAACGTCACACCGTCCCTGTGACACAGGGCACTAAACAAATGTGTGTTCTGCACAGCACACCAGGATATGTTCTCTTGGCCGGCTTCCCGTTCCCCACCTGCCTCTAGTAGGCCAGGGTGGCGGTGCTGCTAGGCCGGCCGCCCGAATGTCGGCTTGTGGGTGACTCCCAGGCCCGTTCACGCAAGCTGCATATAATGAGTCATTAAAGTTTGTCATAGAAGTCGGTGGCCTTCTGCTTGCTTCTGTCCCTGGCCTGGGGCCCCTGCCCCACCCCTCCCCTTCTCTCCATCCCCATCGCTGGCAGATTCCACCTTTCAGGTCCCTGCCAGCTTGCTGGGTTGGTGGGCAGGGTCATATTACCCTTGACTCCTCCCAGAGAACGCAGCCATCTGTGCAGGAGTCACCCCACCTGCCACCGTGCCAGGTGGGGGGCCCTCAGCCCTGCCCTGCCCCATCCACAGTGTCCTCCGGTGCAGGTCACTGAAGCCAGCAGGAGTGAGTGGCTTAAGGAGGCTGTCCAGGAGACCCAGAGCTCATCGTGGGTGTGTGGACGGCCCTGACAGAGCTCCCGCAGAGTGAGGATGGTCACCTCTAGGAGGAGCAGTCCTGGCAGACTGTCTGGCTTTGAGGGCTAGGATTTCACTTACAAAACTGTTCATTGCGTGAGCATCCGGGAGCAAGTGTGCGTGCAGCGTGTCACTTGCAGGAGCCACTTCTCCCCTTTTGTCATGGGGTCCTGGGGCTCAAACGTGGGCCATCAGCCTGTCAGTGTGCCTCTACCCGCCGAGCCTTCTCACCTGTCCTGAGATTCCTTCAAGGGCTTTGCTGTGGTAACGCACACCTGGGCGGAGGTCAGAGGGCAACTTTCAGGAATGGGCATTTGCGTGTACCTGGGAATTGAACTCAGGTCTTCAGCTTGTGTGGCAAGCGCCCTTGCCCGCTGAACCATCTTGCCAGCCCTCACCATCATTTTATAAATGGCAGAAGTATCTTGTCTAATGCCGCCCAGACAGGGAGTGGTCCTGTCTGGGATCTGAACCCAGGACCAAGCCTATGCTTTTCCCTGGTGGCACTTTGAGGAGGTGGGTTGTGAAGGGGATAGGCAGGGGCTGACTTGCCTTTATTGTCCTAGTGCAGGCTGAGATCCAGTCACAGCCACCAAGGACTTTCCTGTGCTTAATTAACAAGAATTGATTGAGCGCCTAGTGCATGCCCGGCACCGTACTGAGCTCTGGATTGTCAACAAAAGGGAAGTACCCCTCTGACCCAGCAGTCTCACAAGTAAGACAATAAATATGTAAAATACACTGTGCAGATGAAAGAGAAAGGAGAGAAGGGTCTAGGCTTCCCCAAGAAAGGAGGATTGTTTAAATGCAGTAGACAGGGAAAGCCTCATGGCGGAAATAATGTTTGTGTAAAGACTCAAAGAAAGCAAGAAGTGAAGATCTCTAGGGAGCTTGGTACGGTGGGCATAGTCCTGCGGCACATATAGGCCTGATGTGTGGTAGGTGATGCCAACGGCAGGCAGAAGGGAAAGTGAGCCAGGACCCAAGGCTGGGTCCACCAGAACTCTGTTGACTCTGAAATTACGGGTATTGAAATAACGGGTATTGTCTCTGTAGGAGTCAGAGTCAGGGCTGTGGGGCGTAGGAAGCCTGAGGGGCTTCTTCCCATGCAGGGTCTGGTGTGGCTGCAGCAGAAGGCTGTGCTGGGCCCCCTTCAGTGGGTGACTCCCTGCAGTCGCCTTTGGGGCTTCCCAGGCCTAGCCCCGCCCCTCGGACTGAAGCAGGGGCGGGGCCAGGAGCCAAGCGGCCCTGCCTCGAGGGAGGGCGGAGGAGCAGGTGGCGGGCTTGTGGCCTCTGCCGGCTGGCGGCTGGCGGGACAGTGGTGGCTCATCTCTAGGTCTGGAGACCCAGCTTCCTTCTTTCCCATCGGTACCCGCCCCTGATGCCTGCCAGACTTTTGCCCATACCAGGGCCCCCGCCTGACCAGCCTCCCACTCCAGACTGATTGGGGAGTCGGGGGTTGAACTGTCTGGGGGCCCGGTCCCAATGCACTGTCGGGCCTTTCGGGGCCTGGCAGGAGCCCTCTTTACCCTCCTGTGCGTGGGACTCCTGTCTCTACGATACCACTCAAGTTTGTCCCTGCGGATGGCACAGGACACGCTCAGGTTGAACCAACAGATCCTGCAGCTTGACGACATCTTCATCGCAGTGAAGACAACCAGGGCCTTCCACCGCTCTCGCCTGGACCTGCTACTTGACACGTGGGTCTCCAGGACCAGGCAACAGGTGACAGGCGGCCGCCTTGAGGCCTGAGAAAACTCCTGGCTGAGGAACTTACTGGGGTCTTCCTGATGGTCTGGGGAGAAGCTGCCCAGTGGGGGGGTCTTTCTGGGGTCTCTCCAGTCGTTCATTCCTCCATGCCTGCCCCCCACTGCCATGCTCCAGGGACTCCTCGGATTCACAGGTCTACGTCTGTTGGGTTCAGACTGAGGGCCTGCTTTAGGCTCCTCTGTCCCATTTTGGGTCCCCCCTCTCTTAGATTCTTGGTCCTAACTTACCTCAGGGTCATGGTGGATATCTGAGAGCCCACAGGAAGGTGCAAACCCACCAGACCTGAGTAGTTGCCTACCCCTGCTCTGGGGATGGATGAGGCTGCCTGTAGCAGGGGTGTGGTGTGGATGCTGGGCAGACATTGAGGTGGGGCCTGCTGGAAGGAGGCTTCCTCTCAGTTCCTGCCCCACTGTGCTGTCGAGGGTGTGCAGGGAGTGTCTAGCCTCCCGGTTTCCTGTGCTGCCGTTGGGAGGCAGTGGCTAAGGCAGAGTGGGCAGGAGGTCAAGGTGAGGTGGAGATCTGCCCGGCATGTGGAATACCTGTGTGTGTGTGTGTGTGTGTGTGTGTGTGTACATGTGCTCACACACAGTCACATATGCTAAACACAATAATAAGAAAGTGTGGGGAATAAGTGTGGTTCCTGAAAGCCAGAGCCCTCCTCCCCATACTCAAGACCCCATCAGTCAAAGCCAGGGACGGGGGCACTGGAGACCACCTCAGGAGGTAGAAGTGGTTTCAGACATTTGTGCATACACATACTCTGCCCCCATTGTGGCTGCTGGCTCTGTGGGAGGAAGTGGCTGAGCCCGAGGAGGGGAGGCCAAGGAGAGGAGGCTGTTCAGTGAGGGAAAGGTGGGGGTACCTGAAGAGGATGCCCACCTCCCCGTTTTCTGGCACAACATCCGGTACAGGCATGAGCCCTTCCCAGTAGAGTTTCCTGCATCCCCAGAACTCCCATGCCAATACAGTTTTCTTTTCTTTTTTGTCTTGAGGGGAGCATGGTTCCTCCTCGGAAGCCAGCAGGGCTGGCCCTCCACGCAGACCTTCCTGTTTATGGAGCAGCGTCTATGTGTACCAGGGAGCAAGACCTCACGTGGTCCCTGCTTTTCCTGTCTTGCTCACCATGATGGTGCCCTAGCCCCAAATGAGGAAACTAAGGCTGCAGAATAGAACAGGCTGGCCAGAGTCACCCAGAAGGCCTGTGGGCCACAGCATACTGGGTTTCCCTCCTGCTTCTCAATGGGGCCCCTTTCTTTCCTGCCAGGCTCCCAAATCAGAGCTGCCAGGGTTACTAGAAGGCTGGCCCTGGGACATCAACTGAGGTGCTAGTGCCTGGCAGAACAAGGCTGGCAAAGAGGCTGAAGCCTAACTGATCTGGTCAAGGGGCACCTGCCGGCATCTCTAAGGGGCTTCAGTCAGAGGCATTGAGCTGTGCTAACTATGTAAATGGCAGGTACTGACTTCCCATCCACAGTGAGGTTAGGCAGGGGCAGGAGAGGTGTTGGAACCCCAACCAGAGCAAAGGAAAAGGCTCTGGAAGGACAGGAGACAGGGAGACCCGTTTCTTACTTCTGGGCTTTATTTTTTTCCTGTGATCTTGGCTACAGGCCCTCAGTTTCCACATTTGAACAAGTGTGTCTGGAAACAGCCCTAGCTGGTTAACTCCAGTGCTGGGCACCCGGTTGGTTAAAGGTGATGGGGTGACAGGTGGCCCCGGCTTAGTGTGCCTGGATAGACTCATGTATGGCCTTTGTCTGGCAGAGGGGGTGGGCGGAGAAGGCTGTTTTGTGTGTTTTGAGCTTCAAGGAGCTTTTCTTCCTCTAGTCCCCTCCCGGGTGGGGGCTGGGCAGGGGGAGAAGGCTTCAGCCCTGGCTCCCCTTCACTGCAGCAGATGGTTCCCGGCCACCCCCTCCCCTGCCCCAGCAGCCTCCCATTCTCTTTGTTTCCCCGGCCTGTGAAACTGCAACTAACTATTGTCTGGGTCTCTTGCTTAAATAAATCAAATGCAGCCTCCTGCTCCTACCCACCACGCTGTGCAAAAGCATGGGCTCCTGGGCCTTCTCCGGTCCCCTAGACTCTGGCCTGGACCCTAGTTCTTTCCTAACTCTGTTCCACCCCCCACCCCACCTCAGCAAGTATTCTTAGTCTGCTTGTCTCATGCTCTGGACGTGCGTGACTTCTGCTACCCCAGAGCCATTTGGTGGCAAACGTGGTCAGGCAAGAAAGGCCTGACTCATTGGTCGGCTCCCTCTAGACCTGTGTGGTGAGTAGGGCTTGGGTGGGAGCAGAATACAGCCAGAGGCCAAGGAAGACAGCCTGGGGACCCAGGAGGAGGGTGGGCCAGGACGAGCCTTGGGAGCAGAGAAAGCTAGAAGCAGAGGATGAGGTGGGTGCATAGACCCATGGGGCACAAGGGGAAGAAGAAGACAGGCACTGTGGTTCCAGGGCTCTGGAAGTGGGAAGAGGATGTGTGTGTGTGGTCTTACCTTTTTGATGCTGGTCATGGAATCCAGGGTCTCATACAGGCAATCAATAAACCCTGGCTCTTGCCTTTTTTTGGGGGGGGGTTCTCCCCTTCTTCCCCCACCTAGTGTTAGAGATTGAACCCAAGGCCTGGGCATGCTGGGTAAGTCTTAGGTCACAGCTTCAGTGCTGGCCCTTGCTTATAGTTCTTAGGAGCTCAGTCCTGATGCTCTAGCCTCCAGGGAAAAGTTACGATGACAGGGATTTGAGAGGCTGGGGCTCAACAGGAGGCCACACAGCAGTTATGAATAGGGGTGCCAGTGTCCAGGTGACAATGTTGTGTGTGTGGGAGGGATAGAGAAGATGATACCAGGCCGAGGTCACTTAAGCTCCCCTGAATATCCAGGGCTCTGGCACCAGCTCAATGTGATAGGCAGAGGCAGACCCCAGAAAGAGGGCTCAGAAAGTGGGAGGGGCTGAGGAGAAAGTGGGAAGCAGCGCAGGGGCCTCCGGAGTAGCTGGCAGATGTCAGGGAAGGTCTCTTGGGGGGCAGTGCTAGAGTTGGCAGTTTCAGGTTTAAAGGGCTCACACTGTGCAGAAGATGTGTCTGTAATGTGTCAGGGTAACTGAAAGAAATCTTAGAGAAGCCCCAGGGGCAGGGAAGGAAAGGTTGAGGTAAAGTCACATTAGGTGGCAAGGGTCAGATGTCTCTTCCTTGACCACACTTAACTTTTTTAGAAAAGTGTTTCTTGCGTGTTTTTGCTTGCATGTGTCTTGTGCATGCAGTACCCATGGAGGCCAGAAGAGGGCAGTGGATCCCTTTGGGATTGGAGTTACTGACAACTGTGAGCCACCATGTGGTTCCTGGAAATTGAACCTAGGTCCTCTGGAAGAGGAGAAAGTGTTCTTAATTGCTGAACCATCTCTCCTTTCCAGACCACACTTATCCTAAGGGAAATAGGGACTCATGGCATTAACAGGTGCCATCCATCTGATCCCGAGGGGACAGTAGTTCTGAGGATCAAGGTAGAGATATGGCAGTGGCTTGGAAGTAAACTTGGGATCAAAGACCTTGGGAGAGAGGTCTGGTTCCCTCATGCCCCCCTTTTCCAGTGCCCCCCCCCCCGGCTTTTGGCCTCCTGTGCCCTGTTCCCTGTGAGATATAAGAAATAGAGCCTGCCTCCCCTCTCAACTCCAACTTCCTGTTCACTCTTCCTGTCTTACATGAATCTCACTTTGCTCACACAGCTGCTGTGCTTCCCTACTTTACAGATAGGTAAACTGAGGCTCAGGACAGGGTCTGTTTTGGTCTGGGAGGGTTTGTGGTGTGAAGACATCGTGGGTGAACAAGGAGGATCGCTATAGCTGAACTCCTGGTCTTGGAAGGATGACAGAGGAGGGCCACACAGGCCTGGGTTTCTTCAGCCCTCACTTAGAAGTGGTTCAAAATTGTTCCAAATGCTGGCTGAGCAGCCCAAAGGTCAGAGACATTACCAAAGGCCTTCAAGATGTTCTATGATAATGTGCTGTTTGGGCAGTAGGGAAGGTCTGTATGCACTGGGCTAGCTCTGGAGTGGGGGACTGAACGGCCAAGGGACCGGGTGGGACAGAAACTTTCAACACTTTTCTCTTCTTCTCCTTCTGTTTGTTGAGAGAAGGTTTCTATGTATAGTCTTGGCTGTCCTGGAGCTCACACTATAGTCTAGGCTGACCTTTAACTCAGAGGTCCTCCTGCCTCTGTCTCTGGAGTGCTGGGATTAAAGGTGTGAGCCACCACTACCTGGTTTACAGCCCATGTTCTTTCTTATACAGTGCAGAAGAGGGATGAGTTGGCTAAGGGTGTGTGGTCCTGGAGAGCAGCCACAGCAGGCTGGTTTACCCCGAGTGTGTGTCCTTGAGAGCTTAGTTGTGTGTGTGCATGAGGAGGGTGTGTCTGAGGACAGAGGACAGAAATCTGCAGTCCCTCCTGTGTGCGGGTTAATCTGGGGTGTGGCCTTGATGTGCTGGGGATGGGGGCCTCCCTCCATCAACCTGTCCTGATGCTTCCGTCTCCCCACAGACATTCGTCTTCACTGACAGCCCAGATGAAAACCTCCAGGAGAGACTGGGTAACTGGGTAACTCCTTGGCTGGGGTGGTGTTCCTCCACTGTGGGCAGGAAGAGCAGGGAGGCTATGATGGGGCCTTGTGGTCCCCAGGAATTTTGTCTCCTGCCATTAGCATTGGGGACTACCTCGTAATACCCCGGAGCAGAGTACACGTAAGAGGCTACTGGACAAGGCTCCATTCCATCTGCTGCCTCAGTTCCCCTGGGAGGGGATGAGCCCTCCATGTTCTCTGAGGTCCAACCCGGGGTGGGGGGTGTCACTGTTATGAGGGGAGGGGCTGGGCAGGTCCCCTGACTGCTTCCCATCTCCAGGCTCCCACCTTGTGGTCACCAACTGCTCTGCAGAGCACAGCCACCCTGCTCTGTCCTGCAAGATGGCTGCAGAATTTGACGCCTTCTTGGCCAGCGGACTCAGGTGAGTGTTGCTAGGCCCCTGGGGCTGGAGTGACTTTTGCCTCGGGCCATCATCTCTTTAACAGGTTTTTTTGTTTTGCTCTCCTTTTGTTTGTTCTGAGTCAGGGTCTTACTGTGTAGCTTTGGCTGTCCTGGCACTGCTATGTAGCCCAGGTTAGCCTCAAACTCACAGAGATCTGCTTGCCTCTGCCTCCCGAGTGCTGGGACTAAAGGCGTGGCTGGCTTAGTTTTTTTGAAATTACATTTGTTTGTTTGTTTATTTATCTATGTGTGTGTGTGTGAGTGTCTGTGTGTGTACAAGTCTAGGTGTATGCGTGCCGTGGCATTGTGTGAAGGTCAAAGGACAGCTTTTTGGGAATTAGTTCTCCCTTTCCATCGTATTTCCTTCCTGAGTCATCTCGTTGGCCTCAGACCTCACCTTCTGAATTGAGGGCCCTGTCAAAGAAGTGAAGTGGCGGGGCTGAGATGGCTCAGCTGTGCAAGCCAAGGACCTGGGTTCAATACCCAACACCAACCCCCAAAACACGAACATATGCTTCTAGCCTCAGTGCTAGGCAGTGGAGACCGGCAGGTCCTGGGGCTGGCTGGCTGGTCACCACATCCTAAGCTCCTGGTCTCAGTGAGAGATCCCATCTCGGTGGATGGTAACAGGAGGAACACCCCCCAAGGTTGGCTTCTGGCCTCTGGATGCTTGACCCTATCTGTGCCTGAACACGTACAGACATACATACTCCAGCACCCTGTTCCCCCACAAAATGGAGGGACCTGGGCCCAATGAAGGGATCTTGGGGCCTCCTGGGGTCTGACTCACCCTTTCCCACTTAGCAGGCAGGAGGTGGACCACCTGGAATCAAATCTTGTCACTCATTGGCTGCATGGCCTTGAAGTCCGCGTCTTCATCTGTTCTGTAGATATCTCTTCCTCCTAGGGTACCCAGCATGCTGCCTGACCCAAAACACAGGGTTTGGGTAGAAGCTACCTGTAGGAAGCACAGCTTGAAGTACGCATTGGGAAGTCAGGATTGTCTGATTTTCTTGACTGGAAGGAAGTGACTGGTGCGTGGTCACCGGGAACACCAGAGAAAGCGGTCAAACTATTCTGTTAGGAGCCAGCCTCCGCCTGCATCCCCTGGTATCCTGAGCATTGTTCAGACTCTAAACCTGGGCTTTGTCTCTCAGTAATCAGAACCCGTCCCCATGGAAGAGGCCCATGTAGTTTGCCTTCCCCCCCAGTAGAATCTATAGTAGTTGGTTGTTTTATTACTCTCTACTCTGTGGTGGGGAGCCACCACCTAGCTCCCAGATAAATCACACAGAGACTTGTTATTACTTATGAATGCCTGGTCTTATCATGGATTGTTTCTAGTCAGCTTTTCTTAACTTAGTTTGTCCCGTCTGCCTTTTGCCTCTGGGATTTTGCCTTTCTCTGTTTCTGTATATCTTTGCTTCACTTCTTACTCTGTGGCTGGCCATGTGGCTGGCCCCTTCTTTTCCTGCTCCTTCACCTTCTCTCTAAGATTTCTTCTCCTCTTTATTCTCTCTGCCCCCCAGCCCCGCCTTTCCTTTTGTCTTAGGCTCAGTTCTCTATTAGACCAATCAGGAGTTTTAGGCAGGCAAAGTAACACAGCTTCACAGAGTTAAACAAATGCAACATAAAAGAATGCAACACATCTTCGCATCATTAAAACGAATGTTCCACAGCATAAACAAATGTAACACATCTTAAATTAATTTTCCACAACAATCTATCCTTATGCTTATCACAGATCCTTCCTGTAGGCCACTAGTTCCCAACCTTCCCAATACTGTGACCCTTTAATACAGTTCCTCATATTGTGGTGACCCCAACCATAAAATTATTTTCATTGCTACTTCATAGGTATAATTTTGCTACTGTTATGAACCATAATGCAAGTGTCTGATATTTCTGATGGTCTTAGGCATCCCCAATGAAAGAATTGTTCCACCCTCAGAGGTGTCCGGTTCCACAGGTTGAGAACCACTGCCCTAGGCCCTAGCCCTGAACTCTGTTTATTAGCCAATAGCATTCATTCTTGTTGTAAAGGTCACAGGTATTTTACTATCCTGCTAAGGAGTTTTGATGTAGCTATGCTAAAGCTTTGTTGTGATGATACGTGGTAGTCTTTTCCCAAAGCTTTACTGAGCCTAACTAAGAAGAATAAACCACGAGGGCAGACTCTGGAGGTTTTTGACCTAGTGCCTGCGAAGACAGCACCGAGTCTCATTGTTAGCTCTTGACTGTGGGGGCCCAGGGACACAGCATTTCCACAAGCTCATTGCGGGCCCCATCCCCGCAGGTGGTTCTGCCACGTGGATGACGACAACTACGTGAATCCCAGGGCACTGCTACAGCTGTTGAAAACATTCCCACGGGACCGTGACGTCTACGTGGGCAAGCCCAGCCTGAACCGGCCCATTCACGCCTCTGAACTGCAATCAAAAAACCGCACGGTGTGTCCCTTCCTCCTTTTCCAATTGGCTGTTGCTCTCAGGGGTGGGCTTATACCTGGGGGCGGGACCTGTCCAGGAGGTGGGACCTGGGTCATCCAGGAGCCCCGCCCTGGCTTGGCAAGAAGACCTCTGTCTGGTCTGCCGGCTTTTCTGACTCCGCCCATGACCCAGCCCCCAGGCACCCGGTATCACTAAGGATTTGTACTGGATCTTAAAACACGACAGTCCTGGGTTGGGGCTGGAACTCAGTTGGCAAAGCGCTTGCCTAGCAGGTACAAAGCTCTAGGTTTGATTCCCAGCACCATTGGGTGCATGGCTGTAATCTTACCACTTGGGAAGGCTGAGGTAGCTATCACCAGTTCAAGGCCAGCCAGGCTTACATAGTGGCTTCCCAGGACAGCCTGGGCTACAGATTGAAACTGTCTCAAAGCCAGAAAAATACCAAACGATTTGCCGGGTCAGAGGATACACCATGGTTGCTCAGAATTGTAGACTCCTCTAACCTCTTCACTGCCCAGCCACTGAAGTGTGGACCCCGGGAGCTAGGGGTCCAGATCCAGCCTCACTGCAGACCCAAGTGACAGTCGTAGGATGTCATTGTGGTTAGATTAGGAAACAAACAAAGCCTAGGAGAACTGGGCCGTGCTTCAAACCGACACCAATGAATAGTGAGGTTTGGCCTGTGTTCCTCTAATTGCACCATTCTTCCCTGCCCCCAGTCTGACTAGTTTCTGGAGCTTGGGTAGTAGTAACCTCAGGGTAGGGAGAAGGCAGGAAGGAGGAGGAGGAGGCCCCCTCTCAGGAGGCCCTGCTTGGAGCAGGAGCTGATGCGTGGGGCTTCCCCTCCCTCCCCAGGCCACCATCTGCTGCTCTGGGGAAACAGGAGCCTTAATTATCAGTAGCTCATCAGCCACTGAGCCCTAATTAAATCCTCCTGGGCCCCAGGGTGCGTGCATGGGCCACTCCAGGTGAGCCAAGGGGTGTCCCCAGCCTCCGCTCTGACCTCCCATCCAGCCTGAGCCCCTCGTCTTCCAGGCCTGAGGAGTCCAGACTGGAGCCTGTCACTCCTGGCTTGGTGGCCCTGATTGAAGTTGGTCGGCCTCTTTGTGTGTCAGTTTTTCATCTGCGGAGCAGGTGATGACAGTCCTGATTCACGGGGTGGTCGTGAGCCATAGAATTGGGTGGGACCATCTGTCAGAGTTCCTGGACTGGGGACTGGATAAACATTACAGGAGTCATTTCTTAGCCATGTCTTGCCTGGCCAGCCCAACACCTGATTGGGTATAGCCAGACCCTGGGCCCCACTGTCCTGGTTTGCTTTCTGTTGCTGTCATAAGTCCTATGACCAAAAACAACTTGGGGAGGAAAGGGTTTATTTGACTTATGTATGCCAATCACATCCCATCTTTGAGGGAAGTCAAGGCAGGGACTCAGGTGGGAAGAGAGGCAGGAACCCATGGAGGAGTTACTTACTGGCTTGCCCCTTACGTCTTGCTTAACTTTCTTTCTATTATAACCTAGGATCACTTCCCAGAGGTGGCACCATCCATTGTGGGCTGGTGGCCCACACAGTGGGCTATGTGACTCTTCCACATTAACCATTAGTCAAGAAAATAAATGCCTCGTAGCTGGGTGCTGGCACATGCTTTTAATGCCAACACTGGGGAGGCAGAGACAGGCAGATCTCTGCAAGTTTGAGGCCAGCTTGGTCTACAGAATGAGTTCCAGGACAGCCAGGACTACATACACAGAGAAACTTTGTCTTCAACTGTTCCCCCCACCCCCCAAAAGTCTCACAGACTTACTTACAAGCTCATCCCATGGAGTCATTGTCTCAACTGAGGGCCCCTCTTTCCAGGTGTCCCTAGTTTGTGTCAAGGTAGCCAGCACACCCAGACATGCACACAGACATTGCCTCTTACCCCTTCTTCTGCCTTAGACTGTTCCAGAATCCCAGAGTCCCCAGGCCAGTGAAAGCCTGGAGTTCTCCAGAGTGGGGCAGCAAAGGCCAAAGAGCTCTGGCCTGGCATTGGTTCCTGCTCTGTGCTCTGAGGCAAGTGACCTCCGTCCTCTGTGCCTTGGTCACTGTGGTTGGGGTACAGCCCTTCCACAGCCCTCAGCACAGGGCCGGGCACAGGGATGGCTCAGACTGAGGTCCAGTCAATGATGTTGTGGTTGCTGTAATTACACAGGATCAGAAGCCACACACTTGTTAATTTTAATAAAACACATTATTGAGCACTTCCTGAATGCTGGGTCCTCAAGAGATGTCATTCTGCTTCTTGGAACCCTAAACTGTCTCTAAAGGACATTCGTGGACATAGATTAGAAAGGAGGGCCATCGGATGACAGACCTGGAGCATTTGTGCTCCCAAGTCTAATTTAAGGCCCAGGCCCCGGAAGTGGCTCCCTTGAGGTTCCGCAGCTGAGCAAAGTGGGGAGATGGAGGCTTGGGCCTCCTCCTAGGGCTCTTTCTACAAAAGCATCATGGGGAATGCTCAGTCCAATGCAAGATGCGTTTGTTAAACACCGACTGCAGACCTGCGGGAAGGTACGGGGGAGGGCATTGTTAGACCAACAGATGAAATGGCAGAAGGGGAAAATTCCCCAGAAGATTTGGAGAACCCACAGGTGAATTCAGGGTCGTCACAAGAGAACCAGGAAGAGGCCTGGGCTGAGGCAAAGGTGGTGGAGGACTCAGAAAACGGTGGGAGGGCTGCTACCCATTACTGGGGATGGTGATGTCAAAGGGTTGCCTGCCCTCAGGTGTTCCCAACATTGCTCCCTCTTTACTCCAGGGGTGGCCTCATGCTCTTCATCCCTGGAAAGCCTTTCTCAGCCTCAGGGATTGGGAGCAGGGAAAGAGAACAGGAGGCCTGGTGTTGGTTGCATCAGGGAGTCCTGCTCCTTTGGCTAGTGACCCTGTACGGAGATCTCTCCTCTGATCTTCCCAGAACACTCCAGGAAGGGCTCTGATTGACCCAGCCCTGTACTTCATTCCAGAAGCCCCTGGCCACCTCTGTGACCTAGGGGAGCAGGTGCCAGGTCCCCCCAAAGGAAGAGGTAGAGTGGCACATGTCTCCCTGTCACTGTGACCCCTAGGATCCCTCTCCTATGGGGGTTTACAAGGATGTCTCAGACCCAATGCCTCCTCTTCCAGGAAGCCAGACTCTGGCTGGGTTTGGGATTCCCCTATAGCCTCACCACTCCTAATTAGCTGTGCAGCACTGGGCCTTGGCTCCCTAGCTGTGAAGTGGACATGCTAAGGCCAGGGCTTCAGAGCTTTGGGGTCATGGTGGTGGGGGGACGGGGCGGTCTAACTGGTGCCCCTGAGTTCCCTGGGCTCATTGCGCGTCTCTGTCCTCCTTTTTTCAGAGGCTGGTACGGTTCTGGTTTGCCACAGGGGGTGCTGGCTTCTGCATCAGCCGCCAACTGGCTTTGAAGATGGTCCCATGGGCCAGGTAAGTGGAGGCCTAGGAGAGAGGGAGGGGTTTTGGGGTACCAGAGGGGCCTTTGAGGCAGGAGGGGCAAGAGGGTTCCCAGAGGAAATGGCCTCTTACTCAGTTATGTCAGGGCAGGCCAGACCTGTGAGGAACATTTCTGTTGACTTCTGGGAATGTGGTTCAGTACACTCAGCCTTAGTTTCCCCAGGTATAAATGGAACTGGAAATACGTGGCCAATGGCACTGTAAGGGCTTAGAGGGAAAATGTCTGGGCAGACAGTAGCTGTGGATCAGGGGGCCTTGGCAGCCCTGCCCTTATCTTCTGACAATTGGCATCATGGGGGTTAAGCATTGGAGCCCTCAGAGATGGGGGAGAGGGCTATTGACTGGGGACAGGAGGGCTTCCTGGAGGATGTGGCATTTTATCTGAGACATCCTCGAAGGCTCCCCCCACAGGAGAGAGGGCTCCTGTGAGCATGGGGGTGAGTGGGCGGAATACTGACATTCTGGAAGCAGCTGACTCTGACCTTTTCCCAGGTTGCTGTCAGTGGACATAAGCTTGCATGGATCGTTGCCCTGAGTTAGGCTGGAGCAAACAGGAGGGAGGGCAGTGCCATTTCTAGAATCCTCAAGAGTGGTTGACAAGCCTTAGGTTACCCAGGTTCAAGGTCACCCAGCTGCTCGCCACCGTCCCTGTCTGCCCTTTGCTTCTCAGAGGATTCAGGATGTCAGTAGGCACGCTGTCCCTAGGGCAAGCCCAGAGCAGGCTCGCACCTGTGACCAAAGGTTGTCTCTGGGACTAGGGTTGCCCACTGTGCTCTGCCCACCTCTGTGGTCCCATCCCATCTCCATGGGCAGCTGGGAGGCTCTCAGCCTGGATTTCTGTGCCTACCCCACCCCTGGCCAGGCATCCTGGAGAAGGGACATTGATGGCCCTGGACAGTCAGGAGCTGTTCTCTGGGACACTGGTTGATACCTGTGAAAGCCTGCTGCGGCCTCTGGGAAGTCCACCATTTCTCCCGGCCCCTAAACCACATGCTTCCTTCTGACTTAGCCCCAGCCTGAGTACCCCAGTCTGTGGCAGGCAAGAAGCGCCCCTTTCTCATGTCTGGGCCCTCCTCACTAGTACGGTACAAAGATGGGGTGTCAGGCTGAGCAGCGGATCTATGAGAGAACGAAAGAAAGGAAAAGGGGGAGAAGGAAGGGTACATTTAGCAGGGCTCCACCCACTCCTCAGGGGAGGAGCCAGTGTCCTAGTGGCTAGCCTGCCCAGTGCAGGCCCTGCTGGGAGGTGGAAGGGGGCTCAGGTGTGCAGGGCCTGGGTCAGGGGCCACCACCCAGCTCTGTCCTCCAGCGGCTCCCACTTCGTGGACACTTCGGCTCTCATCCGCCTGCCTGACGACTGCACTGTGGGCTACATCATTGAGTGCAAGCTGGGAGCCCACCTGCAGCCCAGCCCCCTTTTCCACTCCCATTTGGAGACCCTGCAGCTGCTGGGGGCCGCCCAGCTTCTGGAGCAGGTGAGCCAACTGCCGAGCAGAGGGCGAGGGGTCGGGGAAAGGGTCTCCCCAGAGGACGGTTGGGGTACTCGAAATCAGCCTGGAACTTGAACTTATGAAGCCATCATGTATTGGTGGGGAATAAAGGCCCAGGAAGCACTGTACTCTTTCAGGACACGGTAGCTCAGGCCTCCTATTCCTTCGATCTGGGAAGACTTTACAGGCATAGGTGATGCCCCCAGGCACCAATGATGAACAGATGATTAACCTGTGCCTGATGGCCCACAACTGCTCTTGGGACAGACTGGCTTGGCTTGTAGGCCGGCCTGCCAGTCCCACTGCCTGACCAGAGGGCCCGAGGTCTTCTGCCTTACAGAGTCAGAACCTGGGATACCCGTGATGGAAGTGCATATGAGATTGAGTAAGAAGGAGGGACCGGACCTGGCATTCAGAAGGGACTATCTCCTGTCCCATCTACTCTCTCCTCACCCGCCTTGTCCTCAGATGACTAGGTCCTTGGGATGACAGGATCTTAGCCCTAGGTCTGCAGTCACCAAGGAGAGAGAGTCCATAGACCCTCAGCTGGCCTTTAGAGCCCATGGTCTGAAGGCCTAGCTTGGGTCAGTGCCTGGAGTCAGTAGACTGACTAGGCAGGGGACCAGGGTGTGGGGCCCACCTATTTGGAAGCCAGAAAAGGGGGTCAAGTTTGGGGTGACCAGAAATGAAGCATCTAACTGCCATTGCTTTTTGATATACTCGGCAGCCTGAGGGGGGTTGCCCTCTTCAGTGCCTGTTTCTGCCAGTCATCCCATTGTGCCTGCACTGGCCTCCCCCCGTGTCCACAGGGACTGCTTCCAGGACCCCGGGGATCCCCAGACTCTCAGCTTCCATCGCTTATGTGAAGGGCTGCAGTGTTCGGCACCCCTCCTCCACACGCGTTAAATCAGCGTTGGGTTATTTTCCATTCCTAATAGGATAGAAAGACTCGGTAAAATGTCATGCTGTGTTGTTTAGGGAATAAATGAGAAGGGGGAAGTGCACAGCACAGACGCAGTGGTTGGGATATTTTCATCTGTGGTTGGATCCACAGATGTAGAAGCTGCAGATACTGAGGGCCGACTACAGGGCTGGGGTGTAGCGTGGTGGGTAGAGTGCTTATGTAGTGTCATAAAGCCCTGAGTTTGATCCCCAGATCTTCACAAATCAGGTCTGGTGGTGCAAACCTCTAACCCCAGCACTTGGAGATAGAGGCAGGAGGGTCAGGAGTTCCAGTTCCTGTCTAAATATAAATAAATAAAATCTCCAAAGGCCAACTGCAAATATTATCCCCGTTCTATAGACGGGAAAACCGAGGGCCAGAAAAATAAGCCAAATGTGGTCACAGCTGGGGTAGCCAGTGGGAGGATGATGAGCCCTGGTGGCCAGGTGATCGTCAGTCTGTAGTCATGGCCTGTGTCCGTTTTTTAGGTGCAGCCTCTGTCTCATGTCTTCCTGACATTGTATAGTCCAGGACTGGCTGAGGCCTGCACGGGGCTGTGGAAACCTAGCTAGTCTGGGCACTCAGCTGAGGGAAATGATCCCTTCTTGATGAGCTTGGTGTCCAAATCTGTAGGAAGCAAGAATCACCAGCTTCTTGGATAAGTGTGGCTGCTGGGGCCAGACAGACAGAGGCAGGAGCATGACTTCAGGCTGCAGTGCCTTTGGGGAGGGGCTGGGTTCCACGGGTACAGGAGGCTCAATTGTCAGGCCTCTCTGGAGGCCCAGAGTCTTCTCTCCTGGTACCAAAATGCTCCCCTTGTGGGCCTCCCAAGTGGGACATCTCCCAAATGCCCTCTCATCTCCCCCCAGGTCACCCTCAGCTACGGGGTCTTTGAGGGGAAGCTGAACGTCATCAAGCTACAGGGCCCCTTCTCCCATGAAGAGGACCCCTCCAGGTGCGTGTGGGCTAAGGTGCAGGATGGAGGTTGGGACCAAGCCTAGGCACCCAAAGATGGAGGAGCTTGGAGGGAGAGTAGTGCCACAGGTCATGGGATGCACAGAACTGGGAGCAGAGAGAATAGGTTTACATTTGTATTCTGCTACTTTCTGTGTGACATTAGCTGAGGTCCTCTCTGGGCTTCCATCCCTCCATCTGTAACACTGGAACCAATAGCTGTTCCAAGAGCCCTGAGGCGAGGGCTATAGTAAGCACAGCCTTGTCTCAAGGAGATGGAATTTGGCTCCGTGTAGGGAAGGAATTCAGAGTTCCAAAAGGAAAGGAGCTGCCTTTTTGTTTGTTTGTTTGATTTTTGGTATTTCAAGACAGGGTTTCTCTGTATACCTCTGGCTGTCCTGGAACTCACTCTGTAGACCAAGCTGGCCTCAAACTCAGAGATCAACCTGCCTCTGCCTCCCGAGTGGTGGGATTAAAGGTGTGCACCACCACTGCCTGGCAAGGAGTTGTCTTTTAGTGGAGCGAGTTGGCCATCAGCAGGGGCATGTGACCCATAGTCTTAGTTAGATGATGCTAGATTTTTTTGTGAGCTTGAAGATTCTAGAATTCCGTCAATAAGCTCTTAGGGTTGCCTTGTCTTTCAAGGTGTCTCAAAGGAGAGGTTCTCAAATTGGGGGTGATTTTGCCAATGTCTGGAGACAGTTCTGATTGCTCCATTCTTGGGGTGCTGCTAGCCTTTCCTGGGAAGAGCCTGGGGATGCCACCATCCTGCCAGGCATGGGATAGTTCCATGTGACACAGAGTTACCTGGGGATGCCACCATCCTGCCAGGAATGGGATAGCCCCGTGTAACTCAGAGTTGCCTGGGCTGAGTGTCACAGCGCCTGTGGGTCAGTGAGGTTGGGATAACCCTCTTCCCCTGTTGATTTCTTTGCAGGTTTCGCTCCCTCCATTGTCTCCTCTATCCTGACACACCCTGGTGTCCCCTGCTGGTGGCACTCTGAACTGCAGCAGGGGTCAATGGAGGCTTCTGCTGGACCCCTCCCCCATCTCCTAAGCAGTCCTGAGGGCTCCTGGTTGAGTGTCCACTGACAGATGGTCCCTGGTAGGGCCTCTGGGTGACAGGAAAGGCCCAGGGACCTAGTCACTCCACAGAGGCTGCGGGGGCACTTGAGTTGTGTGTGTGTGTGTGTGTGTGTGTGTGTGTGTATGGGGGAGTGTTCAGGGTCCTAACTCTCCTGAGAGTGACATGTGCCCTGCCTGGGAACTGGCCTCAGTCATTCCTTGAGGACCAGGGAGGGCCATTAGGACAAAACCAGGGTCTGTGCCCTGCAGCTATGGGACTGGTCTCAGCTGCTCCTAGATCCCCTTGCCTGGCCAAGGAACCTGGACTTTGGAAGCTCATCAGGCTCAGAAGGACCGTGGTGAGTCCCTGTCAATTGTGACTGACTTGGTTCATTGTCCCAGCCTTCTTGGCTGCGAGGAGCTACCGTGTGACTCAGCGGGAACTGAGGAAAGCCAGCCGAGGTTTCTGGAGTAAGTTTCACAGCCCAAGATCCTTTCTCCCTACTGTGAAAGTGGGTGTTGATGACTGGCTCTTGGGAAGCTACTTTTCTACCATGAGGGAAAGGCCAAGACAATCATCCAAAGCTGTTCTTTCTGACATCCAATCTGTGAGACATTAAACCTTTATTTAAGTCTCTCTCTGTCCCGTTTCCTGCCATGGGCAGCTGGTACTCCTGGCTGGACAAGGTCTCTGATCAGTGGTGATGACCACATTTGGTGATAGGATGTGGTGTGTGGCTCAGAGTCTGGTGCAGGGAGCGGGAGGCTTGATGACTGAGGACTTTGAGGGCGTGTGTGTGTGTGTGTGTGTTACGGTATAGACTATGCACGTATGATGCGTATGTGGGGATGTATCTGTGGCTGTAGGGTGCTCATAGCTGGGCCGAGTGGCTGTGGATGACAGCTGGCCCTTAGGCTGGACAACTGAGGCTGGACATACTTGGTAGAGGGAAGCTCAGTTGTAGAATTGCCTCCATCAGACTGGCCGTGGGCATGTCTTTAGGGCACTTCCCAGATGGCTACTTGATTCAGGAGGGCCTTGCTTACTGTGGGCAGGGCCATCCCTGGGCAGGTGGCATATGAGGAAGGTAGCTGAACAAGCCAGAGGAAGCAAACCTGTAAACATGTCCTCCATGGCCTCTGCTTTAGTCCTGCCTCAAGTTCCTGTGCCCACTGCCCTCATGGAGTGTGATGTGGGACTGGAAGCAGAAACAGGCCCTCTCTTGTTCAAGTTGCTTTGATTTTGGGATTGATCACAACAGAAAGCAAACCTGGACAGACAGTGCTAGAAGGGGCCTGGGTCTCTCCAGCCAGCCCCGACCCTGTCAGGAGCCAGCAGGGGGCCAAGTGAGCCTGTGCCCCTCCCACCCACACCACACCTCCCATGAGCCAGTCCAGTGGATGACCCAGGCAGAATTTAAGAAGCGAGTAATGGACAGTGTTGCCCTGTTGTGGACACAGAGGCCACTAGCTACACAGACCTGAGCAGAGACCTTCGGGAGGACCCTGTTGGCCAGGTTTTCATTTTGTCTCATGTAGCGCAGCCTGCTGCAAGCTCACTGTGGAGCTGAGGATGGACCTGGACATTCTATCCTCCTGTTGTTGCTGGGGTATAGGCTCAGCCACCATGTCCAGCTGACATGAAACTGGTGTGCACATGGCAGTGTCAAATCCAGGGCTTGGTGCACACTAGGCCAGCGCTACCAGCCAAGCCCTGCTCCCAGCTCTGCCCCCAGTTCTAAGCATTTAACATGAGCCAGGTCACTACATGCTCACCTGTTTGAAGCAGGGACCATTATTGTTCCTATTTCTTAGATTGGGAAACTGAGGCACGGGGCATGGCTCAGGCCTGTTTGTGAGGTAGCTGGCCTGTGTCAGTTGTCTCTGCGTGGGATGATTTTGGAGGGTGGGGGAACCTCTGCAGGCCTGGGCTTCATCCTCTTGCCTTTTGTGGCCTTGCTCTGTGCATTGGCCAAGTGGCTCCCCCAGGCGAGATGGGTACGATGATATCCCTAGCATATATGTGTGTGTGTGTGTGTGTGTGTGTGTGTGTGCATGAGGTGTGTGTGTTTGTGTGTGTGTGTATGCATGTGTGTATTCAGTGCGTGTTTGTGTGTGTGTCTCTTTTTCTTTTTTGGCATCAGGGTCTCTCACTGGCCTGGAACTCATTGATTTGGCTAGACAGTCTGGCCACCAAGGCCCAGGGATTCTCCTGTGTCTGCCTTCCCAGCACTGTGATGAAAAGTGAGTGCCAGCACCACTTTAATGGGGACGCTGGGTTTGAACTCAGATCCTTGTTCTTGCAAGGCAAGCACTTTACTAAACCCTCTGCCCTGCCTCATGTCTCCTGATGGCGTTGGCTCACTTGGGTGTTTGTTTGCTGACCCTTGACTTTAAGTGGTCCTAGCATTCAGGGGTCCTGTCAGCCCCGATTCCTGCAGCTCATAACTTGGTAGATCCTCAGGAATATCTGAGGGATGGACAGAAAAAGGAGGAAGTGTGTTTCTTCCATCCCTCAGGGTCCTGAAGGGCTGACACCAGTGCAGGCCTGTGGATGGGGCAGGGTTTTATAATGGGCTGGCTGGTCACATCAGATCAGTGCTGGCATCCTTTCAAAGTGTGTTCCAGGCATGAGCAGGTAGGAGTTCCAGCATTGCTCAGAAGTCACCGGCCTTGGCAGCTGGCCCTGGGGCTTGAATGACATCATGAGGTTCAATTCATCAATTCCTCCACGGGGACAGTTGTACAGGATGGAGGATCTGGTGCCTTCAGCAAGGGATACTGTAACCACACGGGAAGAAGAAAGAGCTGAAAGAAACTCAGCCCTCAAAACTGGTTTTGATCTTGATTCAAATCAATGGGCCTTAAAGAGATGCTTTTGAGGAAAAGGAGGAAATTTGAGCGGGGAGTGTGCGTTAGATGGCATTAGCATCTCTACAAGAGACAGTGGGATTGAGGTTTTTTTTTTGAGAAATGTTCTAATATGTGAGAGATACACTCTGAAATATTTATGGGTGGAATATGTCTGGAATTTGTGTTACAAAGAGGCCTGAAGGGAGGCATAAAATAAGAATGGCAGAGTGGGGGAGGGGCCGGAGCTGTGGAGCAGCATGCTAGCTTCGTTATGATGTCGCCCTCCCCCATTTTGTTCCCATTTGAAACTTTCTACAATAAAAAGAATACTAAATAATAAAAGAACATCTACGGGCATTCTATTTCCCAGCTGAGGCTCTTCCCCCCTCTCCCCTTCCTCCCTGCCCAGCTCCCTCCCCCCTGCCCCACATTCAGGCCCAGAGAACATCTGTTTTCCATGGGCACTTCTGTCCTGGTACCCACTGCTGGGGAGGCAGGCTTGCTGGGGCTGGCCCCTCCTGCTCTGCGTCTGGCTCCTTGCCTGGTCTCCCCAAGGCTCACCCTGATTTCTTTTGGTTGTGAGCACTGGTCCCAGCTGCCTTGTAGCCCAGTGGCATTTTCCCTGGGCACAGCCTGACCCCATTCCTGCCTCCCTCCATTACTCATCCACTAATGTGATTTTACTGCTCCCCTCCTGGGGTGGGCAGATGGAATTTGCATTAGATCCTACCCAGGGGAGCCAGGTGCAAAGCCTTGCTCTGAACAGGGCACTCTAATCCCGGAGGGGACAACATGTGTTGGTGAAGACATGGCATAGCTTGCCAGCGGTAATGAAATGTAGCTGGGGTGCACGGAGGAGGGGTGTGGAGGCAGCAGGAACCCAGGCACCTGCTGTAGGATATGGTGTCAGGTCTGGGTCTTGAGCCAAGAGGAGGTCTGACGGAGTGGGGTGCATCACACAGACACATAGATGGGGCTACATAGACCCAGCGGGGAGAGACACCATGCATTAGCGTTAGCTGTGTGCAGCCAATCCTGTTCTCACACACATGCTAACGCCATCCGAGAGAAAGCAAGTCTGATGTGCCTGGTACGTTTGCCCATATCCAATCGATAGGCACAGCCTATCCAGGTGCTGAAAGACTCTGTGTATGTCCCTTAGTGTCTCTCTGTGGCATAGTGCCAGGCTCATAGCAGGTATGAACACCAAGTGATTTCTGAAGTAGGTGTTCGGGTGCCCATCGCAGTAGCCTGGGGAAACGCTCCAGTGGCTGCGAGCTCCCAGTTGCTAGTGTGCCAACCCATAGTACATGAGGCCCTAGGTTAGAGCCTCAACACTGCGTACAGCCAGGCGTGGTGGTACATGCTCATGATCCTAGAAAGTGGAGGCAAGAAGATCTGAAATTCAAAAGCAGCCCTGGCTGTCCTAAAACTCACTTTGTAGACCAGGTTGGCCTAGAACTCACAGAGATTGCCTGCCTCTGCCTCCTGAGTGCTGGGATTAAAGGCGTGCACCACCACCATCGTGGGCTTTCAGGAGTCATACCTGTAGAAGGTCCAGAGGGCTAGGGAACAAGGTGAGAGAGGCATTGGCGAGTTCAGCACTATGGACAGAGCCCCGCTCTCTGACTAACTCCGTGTTTTTCCTAGACTTACTGGATCTAGGCAGTCCCTCTGTGTGTGAGACAACATTGATAGTACCACCTTATGGGGCCCAGGCCGTGCCTGTGGTCCTGGTCCCTCATGTGACCCCACCTTTGTCTCTGCTTCAGAAATGACTTTGAAGGAGGCCACCAGTCCTGGTGCAGGTATGACTCCAACTTCACACAAGGACCTATTACAAATATCTCTCCCCTTGATATTTTTTTATAACTTGTATGCGGCTCCACACTGGGTAAATAGCACAGTGAGATGCCTGAGCCTGTCTGAACAAATTAATCCCCCAGACATGGTTTGAGCACCCACTGTGTTCAAGGGCAGTGCTGATAGCTAAGGACCATGGAGGGATGGGGGAGATTTACATGCTGCTCCACGGAACCCAAAGCCTGGTGCATTGATTGCGAGAAAGGAAAGTGGCCTTGAATTTATCCAGGCTGACAGTCAGTAAGGGTGTGAAGGAGAGGTAGCCTGGGACGGAAAAGCAAAAGGACTCTGTGGTAGGGGCTCCCTGACTTTGAGGACCAGAATTTGCCCTGATGGACCATGTGGACTTGAACATACTACTTAACATTGTCTTCTAATCTGAGAACTGCAGGTGATGACATCCCTCCTCGGACCCCCAAAGGACACCTAAGAGGAAAATACCCACTCAACTCAGTGTCTATGTCTCTGCCCTTCACCCACGGACCTAACATTTTCTGAAGGTCTGTACCTGAATAAGGGTGTTTTACCTCAGGAGTAAGGCAGACATGGCATTTTCTTTCTTCCTCTGGGCCCCCAGAAGGATATTTCCATTCACTTGCTGGCTGCTATTGTACAGTACTGCCCATCTACCACACTATGGATTGCGAATTTGGCAAGGAGCTGGAGATTGAAACACACATACACATACATAGAAACATGGGTCATCCCTAAAACAAGAATGCCCCTTTTATTGTGTTCCAGGACAGCTTATATAGGGCTCTCCTTAACTAATGGCCACACTCTAGCTCTTGGGATTTTTCAGCTGCGAACCCACCAGAAACCACTCCCCTGCCATCAGGCACTCATGAAGATCTCGTGCCCAGAGCAGCTGCAAGCACAGGAAAGCAGTTTACTCTGGCAGGCAAGGGGGTCACAGAAAATTCAGGGTCTGAGGTCTGCAGTTCCCAACATGCTGTAAGGTAAACACAGATCCATCTGTCCTCATGCCCATAGGATGGAGGGGAGAAGGCAGAGGTGCAGTGTGTGGAGGTGGATGGGGCCCCATCTCAGGGTCTTCAGAGGAGGCTTGCTCACCAAACACCAACAGAGTGGTTCTGAACTGCTGTGAACAGCGGAAGAGGCTGTGTTGACTCGGGCTGGCTCAGGGGGAGTTTGGTGCTTGGTCCAGGTAACAAACAGCTGAAACCAAGCAGTGACGTGGAGGGTGAGTGCTGGGCAAGGAAGTGAGCAGCAGGAAGGTCGCGCAAGGACTGGGAGAGCACACTCCATGCGTACTTTTAGGTTCTCCAAGCCTCGTAATAAATATAGAGATAGCACAGTAGTGAGTAGGTGCTTCCTGTGTGAGCCTGAGGACTGGAGTTTGATCCCTCAGACCTGTAATCTCAGGATGGGGGAACAGATACAGGAGAATCACTGGGTCTTGTTTGCCACCAGCCCAGCCAGTCAGACTTCCAGGTTCAGAGAGAAACCCTGTCTCAAAAACTAAGGTGGAAAGCGACTGAGGAAGATGCACGGTGTCCATCTTCAGTCAGCACAGATGCGTAAGCACATGCATACATATGTACATATAATAAAACCTGAAATCCAAACACGCCCCCAGCCCTCAAGGGTCCTCCCTCTGTGTTCCTCTTGTTCTGGTCAGATCACACCCACCCAGATTTCTTGCAGTCCTGATCCGATAGGTGGGTGGCTCGCCTAACACTCCATGTCCTGGGCTTTATTTTGAGGTCCTGTGGCCAGGAGCCCTAGGAGTGTCATTGGAAATCTGTCCTTTATCTCTGGCCCCTGGGTCTAGGCTTCACCCAGCATTCAGTTGAGAGCAGCTATGTGTCTTTGAGGCGATTAGACACAGGAGAAATTATACCTTTTAAGTTTTGTGCACTCCAGGGATGAATTCTATCACTGAGCCACATCCTCTGTTTCTCAGTCATTAATCTCTAAAAATTGCGTTAATGTATGTATCATATAAAATTGATATTTTAATCATATTTGAGTGTACAACTCCACAGCATTGGTTTTATTTACAATGTGAAGCCCTCACCAAAACATTTTCATTAAATTAAGGCATAATATATGCACAGTTCATCCATGTTGGAGCATACATCAAAATCCTATTTCTTTTTATGGCAGCACAGGGTTCTGCTCTAGGTATGGCCTGTGTTTGGCTCAACTATTCATTTGTCAACAGACATCTGGGTTACTTCCTTCCTTCCTTCTTTCTTCCTTCCTTCCTTTCTTCCTTTCTTTCTTCCTTCCTTTCTTTCTTTCTTTCTTTCTCTCCCTCATTCTCCCTCCCTGTCTCCTTCCTTCCTTCCTTTCT